ATCTGCTGTTGCTGTTGCATGTGTCCTCCGTGAAGCACTTGCTGATGTCCGTTATTTCCAACGTGCTGTTGATGCTGTTGTTGTGGCGCCGAGATGACGTACGTCTTGAACTCCTGTGGTTGTGGTGGTGGTGTCACCGAGCGTGGCGTCGATTGGTTGGCACGCTGGCGGAGGAGAATCTGCTGAGCGTGTTGGGTTCGCTTGGCGACGTCGCGCTCCAGCGTGGAGAGGGCGTCCATGTCGTCCTTCTTCTGTGGGACTCCGGTGCCCATGGCAATGGTTCCAGATGATCCGACGGCCATTTGTCCAGCATTCATCATGTCGTCAATCTCGTTGCGGCGGCGTTTCGGGGTGTATCTCTTTTGATTGTAGGACTGAAATTATCGATTTTGGGGGGAACTTTGAATTTTTCAAAAACTGAAAACCATGCTAAGCTCTTCTCTCTCTCCCTCTTTCTCTGTGTCATTCACATACATACACACTCTCACACAATATACAAGCATTCCAAAGAACGAGCTACTTTAAAAAAGGAAAAATAAAATAAGAAAAAAAAGATTTCACTAACGTCTCCGAGATCATGATCGTGGGTGTCTGATTGAGAGGGCCAAGACTCATCTTTGGGTTCTTGTTTCGCGATCTACAACAAAATTAAGAGAGTTTGTAGTTTGTAGTGTATTAAAGATCTCGGAGAGTTTAGGGAAACCGAAAGAGCGAGGCTTAATTTTGACTAATTAATCACAGAAAGTAGAAGAAGACGTGTGTAGATTTATGTGTGTATGTGAAGGTGTGGACATAAAGAGCCCAAGAGAAGTTGTGGAAACAGTTAGGCGCGAAAAATCATGACCCAGAAGACCCTCTCTCTCTCTGCTCCTCTTCACTCTCTCTGGTCCATTACCTTTCGCTGATCCGGCGTCATTCGTTGATAGCGAAGACGTGCTGCTTCGGCGCGTTTCGCATTTCGCACCACGATCTGCTGAGCACGATCCAACGCTTCTCCATTGATTCTCCCGATTGGCATCGCCAGAAGCATCTCCTCTTCCATACGACGTCTTCTGAATGCTTCAGTGCGTCGCTGATTGTAGATGCGCTTCTCCTCGTCGTTCATTCGATGGTATCTGAAAAAATTTGCAGGTCATATAAAACGTTGTCCGTCGGAATCCGTCGGAATCTACCTCTGACGTGCCGCTTCGGCCTTCTTGGCATTCTGATTCTTGATGTGAGTGCGAACAGCTTCATCGTCTTTTTGTGGGTCGCCGGTTGCCATTCCGCACGCCTGAAACTCCATTGTATTCAGTAAATATGTTGGTGTCACGTCGGGAGCCTCAAATTCAAGAAAATCTTAGAATTCAGGCGAAAAAAAGTGCCGGAAATATGACTAGAATCTATGTTCATCGCTTGCAAATCATTACTAGTCAATAGAGCGCTAAAAATGACTGTAAATGCGATATTGTTCACTTTTCTGCGATGATTTTGAAAGAAGTTATGAGCGAAACAAAATTTGGGTCTGCTAATGTTGCTCGCGCTTCTCTGCGTCTCTTTAGGACTCCTGCTGGGGCAATGGTTTGGACCNCCGAGCTCCAGAATCCATAAAACCAGTTTTTTAGGATTTAAAAAATTTGGGAATTTGTGGAAATCTAGTTTTTCAGGATCTAGATATTCTAGGAACAAGATTGATTGGAATTCGAACTCTACAAAATCTGAAGAATCTAGATTTTCCACAATCTCGAAACTCTAATTTCAGCAGATCCCAGAGAGTTTG